CTCCTAACTACTACACCAAACTGGCTCTCATTTTTCTAGCTTGCTGACAGAGGTCCCAAGTGGACAGACTCAGGGGTACCAGGCCACCGCTGGGGGATGAGGGGGGGGAAGTGTTGTCAGCTCCAGGTTGGGAAACTCCTGGAGATTTGGGGGGGGGGACCCAGGGGAGGACAGGGACCTCAGTGGGGAACAATTCCATAGAGTCCACTCTCTAAAGCATGCATTTTCTCCAAGGGAACTGATCCCCAGGTCCCACTTAGAGGCTGGCATCTCTTTCCTTCAGTAATGTATTCTTTACAAAAAAAAACATAGAAATTCCTTCCTGATTCATAGAGCGTTCTCTGTTCAGGGATTCTTAAGGACCATACAACCAGGGCTCTAGTCGGGGGGGAGCTCTCAGGTACGGAGCTCCGGAAGAGAACCTCTAGGGGGCGGGGCGGTCACGTGGTGAAGCCCCGCCCCCTTCTTTACCCCGCCCTCTGCTTCGATCCTCATTCCGTTTGGGAATGAGGATGAAGCAGGAGGGTAAGTAGCCGGGCCTTCTGACACACTTCCGGTGATGTCAGGGGGTGTGGCCTTCTGTCACTTCCGGTGATGTCAGGGGGCGTGGCATATGCAAATAAGTTATGCTAATGAGTTATGCTAATGAGCTCCGGCAGCTCTTTTTCTACAACAAGACCCCTGCATACAACACTTGAAAATACATTATGCAAGACTTGGGGACACTGTGGAGAATTAGGGGCACTGCAGAATTTCCCTGATGTCTAACCCATGAAGCAGGGCCTGCTGAGCTAAAACGCAGAAAAATGATGACTCTCTGTATAGACATATGGTCTGTGAATGCACACACGTGCTATTTTGGTCCAAGGTGTTAAATTCTTGTTGCTTAAGTCTTTTTGCCACATGATTTTGCTTTTCAGTTTGGGACACAAAATCCCTGCAGCAAAGGAGAAACAGGAAAAAAAGGTAAATAATCAAGAAAAAGAGAGGGAAAGAAAGGGAAAGAGAAAAGCGGCACATTTCCTGAGAACTCACCATTGATGATACCGTACTTCTGAGAGAGTAATGCTGCCTGAAGGCTTTTCCCACAGCCTGGAGGCCCACAAAGGAGAATCCGAGGAGAAAACGGGGCGGGTGTTCGAGGTGGAGCTTGGACGTGGCTCAGAACTGAAAGAGAAAGAGAGAGAGGGTAAAACCCATCAGCAGGATCACCAAGCCACATTAGAGAGTCCAGGGCTATTTTGGAGCAGGAACGCACAGGAACGGAGTTCCGGCTGGCTTCAGAGTTGGCCACGCCCACTACAGCCAGAGGTCATTTCGGGGGGGAACGCGGGTGAACGCAGTTCCCCCGGGTGAGGTATGGGGGCGGGGCACATGACGAAGCCCCGCCCCCTGGTTCCGGCCGCCCTGGTTCCGGCCCTCATTCAGCCAGGAGGAGGCAGGAGAAGAGGGAGGGT